GGCCTGGTTGAATTACCCCCGTTTTTTTAGAACTGGGCTAATCAGAAAACAGCCGAAGACCACCAAACCTCCAGTTCTATAAGCCTGCTACGGAGGCTAATCAGAAAACAGCCGAAGACAACCAAACCCCCAGTTCTATTAGTATACGAACTGTTCCTGCTACGGAGGCTATACAAGATACAAAGCTGGTGTGTTGCGCTTAAAGGCATTTTTACCAGTTATGCGAAACAAACAAACAAAAAGCCGTACAGTCAATCATCTACATAGAACTACAAAAAAACACGTACCTGGAGGTCCAGTCGCTAAATACCAAGTGAAGTGACCTACTTTTTTTTAATAGACGAGGTTGCTTGACATCTGTCAATATGGCCGTTACGCGGCTTAGTCCCTGCAGCTGGTCAGTTATATATAATCTTTAAAATCCTTCTTTTTTCGCGAAAATTTTGCATATCATGGAACCGGCAGGACCAGGTTGGGTCTAAACCTTCCTAATTTGGCCGCGATTTGTTAATTTTACCAGTTTAGTGGGTGTGGTGAGATATTAAAGTACCGCTACATCGGGGGGTTGTCCACTGCCCTTCACAGCCCCGGCTGTAACAAGAGTTCTGGACTGACCGGATGGGGTCGTGTTGACCTGACCGGGCGAGTCAGATTGTGTAAGACCACAGCAAGGAATTCTTATGAGGGCCTGCAAGCCCTTTTTCGTAATCAGGCCGTTTTAGACTTCGTAATTCGTAGGCAGCCTCCGCAAAAATCAACGTAACTCGTAATGAGGGTCTGCATGCCCTTTTTCGTTAACCGTTATTGGCTATTTTAATTTACCGTTAATTGTTGCCGGCCCGCTCTAATTCAACGTTAAGCGTTATCAGTATATTCCTCGTGAAGCGTTATTGGTCATTTTAATTCAACGTAAAACGTTATTTGTCATCCTAAATTCAGCGTTAAACGTTAATGAATAATTCTTCGTTACGCCTAATTTTGCCTTTCAAAGTGCAGGAAAATGCGTCAATGAAGGTTTTAAAATACAAAATTTCCCGGGGGAGAATGCCCCCGGACCCCCCTTCATTGCTCGAGCCTTTGGCGCTCGACTCGCGCTTCTGCGTTCATCCCTTCGGCAGTAGCCAGAACCAGCTTTCCCGTCAATTTCCGGAAGTTTGCGGAGAGTTACAGAATTTCTTCAACGAATCCGTCAACCTTGACAGGCAAATTAACAAAAGTCTTGAGAAACATCAGAAGGACCGACAAACACTCTCAACACCATGATTTGCCTCTCAAAACGCGGGAAATTGCGTTTTTGAAGGTTAAAAAAGCCTACATTTCCCGGGGGAGCACTCCCCGGACCC